GGGAGAGAAGAAAAACTTATTTGTTAATTCTACAAAACTAACCTGAGATTCATGGCTTTCAAGCTCTGCTATAGAAAAGGGCCTCACTCTCAAGAAGACTTTCAGAGGTTGGTATACCTATTCAATAAAAAAAGGCACAAAACACAGTTACAATTGCCACTTTTTAAGCAGAACAGCCCCAAATCACTCATATCAGCATACATATCTGATGCAGTATTTCCTATTTGATCTTAATGCCTCACTTTTTCCTTCCTTGTGAAGTTCAGACTCTAACCTTCCATTTGCTTCTTTATCTTTTACTGTCCTTAAGTAACACCTTTTTTGTGTGCCACCCCTTCTTAGCATTCTTTCATGACAAAGCTAGTACTTTGATTTTAAAAGAGCACACTATCCCAGGCATAAAACTGCACTGCTTCCACCTTCTGGTCTCCCTCTGTATTGAATTCAAGCTGTGTTTTCTAACACCTGCTAAACAGTACTGCACTTCCATTTTGTATGGAGCATGTTCAATTAATAGATTGACACATTCTTAGCCTCAAGAAACCAATTCCTTACCATCATCCAGGCACCAGCCACTCATCTTCCTCACAGTAACACCCATGAAACAGTTCTCAGGTGCTAAGAAGGGCTTTTCCATCCCTCTACCGTTACACAATGGTCTCCCCACACAGGTAAAACAATAATAGTAGGGAGCTTTTCAGAGGGATTCTAGCATTTCTTCCTTTCTCACAGAGCTTCAAAGTCTTTACTTAGGCAACTTTTCATTCAGCAGATGGATTTACTCCAGCTGTCCCATGACCAGCACTCCACTAATCATACAAAATTAGATCACCTGAGGAAAAGTCAGCCAGGAAACTTACCACTCCAAAAAGGAGAGATTGCTATACTATCTTCACCTCAAGTGCAGAGCACAGCATTATAGATTTTATTTCCAAGCACCTAACAAGTTTTAAACACAGGTTCGTATGCTTTTTCATCTTACTAAAAAGAACAGCACAGTCTCATTACATTCAAAGTGTAATTACTGAAGTCCCTAATTTTTTTTTTTTTCAAAAGCTTAGCACATGACATAGCATTGACCACGCGTATTTGATACTGGCTATGACCTGTGTGTAAGCAATGAGAAATAAGCAGGAGAGTCAAACACATCTTAGGGGTAGAGAAGCAGAGTAGTTCTTATGAAAGAAATATTTGTCAGAATTAAAGCTTTTTTTAAAAAAAAATCCCAAACAATAACAAAAAATACACAAAACCCAAAAACAAAACCCCAGACAAACAAAAAACCCCCAGCATCGCCAGAAAACATCTTGTAAAACCAATCCACACCTGCTGTTCCTCCATATTAGGCAATACTGTTGACTCCAAGGGTGAAGGTTTACCCTCAACATTCAGAAAAGAAATTGATTCCAACACATCAGACATTTCTGCAGAAACATAGTTTTTCCCCTCATCATCCATTGTTCCGCGTAAAGGAACTTGTAAGGAAAAAAAAGAGAAAAAAAAGCCCATCATTTTCTCAGAGAACAGACAAAAACACAGGCGGAACAAAACAAAGATGAGGGCAGCTTGTATATAAACAAGCACTTCTGAGGAAGATAAGGCCACCTGGAGAAGTTTGGGAGTATGAAGGAATCTTAAAAAAACAACTGGCAGGTTATCCTGGGAAAGAAACACACAAGGGAAAACAAGCTAACAGCCTCACTGGGCACTGCTCTCATCCAGCTGCAAGTGTCGCCACCCCCACCCCGCAAGGCTCAACACTCCCCTGTCCCCAGGGTCCGACCCATCCCCACTCCCGAGGCTCCCGGGCCCCTCCTCAGGGAGCGCGCGGGCAGCGCCGCTACCTTGGCGCGCGCGGGAAACCCGCGAGCCAGCGCGCGGCAGGGGAGCGTTTTTGGGCTGGGGGAGGCGGGCGCTGATTGCGAGCGCAAGCGGGGGGCGGGGCGGGTGGTGACGGAACAGGCCGCGCGCGGGCACGGGCGCCGCTCGCTCTGCCCGGCAGGGGGCGCTGCTTCCCGTGCAAGGCAGCGGCGCCGCCGGAGCTGTGGAGCTGTGGGCTGTTGGGAGGGTGGGAGCTGGTGGGAGTGTGGGAGCTGTGGGGCCGCCGCCGGCCCCGGCAGGGAGGACGGGGACGGAGCGGAGCGGGACGGAGCTGCTCGTGCTCGTGATGCAGCGTTTGTATATCGTCCTTAGTAAGGCAGGGCGGTAAAGAAGAGGTTTGAACGGACAGCGGCCGTTCCAGCGAGGAACGAGGATTGTACTGCCCGACAAAACCGTGCCGGGGGTTGAGGGGGGAGACGCGGGTACCAAAATGTTTCCGTCCAAACGAGTTACATAAACTTATTGTGGGTGTTACGTAAAACATTTCGACACTCCCGCGGTGTTGTCGTAAATCAAGCAGAAAACAAATAAATCCTGAAGCGTTCGGGTCACGCAGAAGCCGTAAGTGGGACAGGTCAGGAACTGCGTGCCGCAGGGAGCGAGAGATGAGCCGCGCTCCGGGACGGGACCTGCTCCCGGCTGAAGGAACCATCACCTTCCACAGGCAAGCGGTCTGCTTTCCCGGTAACCCGTGGAAAGCCTGTCCCTTCGTACAGTAGGCAGGCAGCAGTACCTCTGCACGGCACAAGCCCCAGATGCAAAGGTGGTGAAGTTGCATTTGTGTTTAAGTTGGAGACAGGGGAAAAGAAAGATACGCACTCAAAAGACCGCAGAAAACTGTGGTCTGTGAAGTGCCATAGCTGCTCAAAGAACCTAGATGGGGCTTTAGGTCATTTAGGTATGTTTAAGAGGCACCACCCAAGTCAGAGGTACAGCGGGCTGTAACCCAATAGAAAGCTATTTCATACAAAAGGTTTTGACCAACAGGAAAGACCAAAGACAAAACTGATGTTAGAGCCTGCCAGCTCTCCCTAGATCCACTGAAGTGCCTTCAGAGGGCTAAAGTTCAGCAGAGGGAAGACTACTTAGGTGAAAGTTAGCAGCTAATTGTACACAAAGGTCAGTGGGCTTCAGCAGTAACACTTCTCATCTGCTACTTGTTTGCTCATTTATCCCCATAGAGGACTCCATATAAACACAGATAACTTTAAAACTACAGCTAGAAGTATTTGTCAGGAAACTCGTATTTGTAGCGTATTACCAGAAATGGACTTCTAGGAAAACACAGGTGTTTTGGTTTTGTTTTTTTTTTTTCCCCTCTGCTCATGCAGTTCTTCAGGATGTTTCCCAAGGAAGCTGGCTTGATGCAATCTGTACACATTAATTCAGTTTCTCACCTCTTCCTACTACCAAAGCTCTCAAGCCTGCTAACTAGATAGTTAGAATCTTTCCGAGGCTTTACATTTAATGAAATCGAAAGACCTGAATCCCTTGAGTAAGGAGGTTCAAGCTTTGGTCACTGTTTTAGGTCTTAGAAAATGTAAATAGGAGCTGAAACTACACATTTCCACTAAATTAATTTGAATTCAAATTCTTTCCTATGCTTGGAAGCAGAAACAGCAATCTTATCTTAAATGGATTAAATGAAACTGTTCTCTTTTATTTAACTCTGGGATTTCTTTGCCTTGTTGGTTTAAGAATTAATCATACTTCCTTTACTTGAGAGCCCTAAGCAGCAGCACTGAAAATGGCTGTTTTGCTGCTTTACATATAAACCTTACCTTTAACATTAATAATCATACCTGTGGAAATCTAAACCTGAAAAGACAACTAGAGAGTTTCACAGCTTAGTTTTGTGACTCTACATGCAAGTCTAAAGAATGAACTTGCTAAATTCAATGTATTCACCATAAATGATGTTTTATGAGTAGTGTCCTCAGGATCCTTCAACTGTGACATGCTTGGAAAAAAACAAAGCCAAGTAAGCTTAGTGTTAGTTCTGTCTTGCACAGCAAGAACCAAGAATTGAAAACTTAGTAATTTACCTAAACATCAATTTTAATGCTACTGCTTGTTTGGGTATAGACTAAGATTTCAGCCAAATCTAAACCCTTCATGAAAAATATATTTTTAATGTGCTGCATGACCATATAGTCACCAACCTCCATGAAACCACGATGCCCACGTTTCATTTTCCTGATGTTTACAGATACCATATTCTTCTTTAAATATCACACAGCATTTTGATTATGATCTCTGTTGTCCTTCATGAAAATCCCAGAGCTACTTTTCTACACACGTATGAAAACAAACACTGATGAAAATTTGTAAATCAATTTTATTCAACAACGATGATCATTTAGGCATCGGCGATAGTAACTTCAACTTCTACACCTGGTTCAATGCTGATGGAAGTGATCTGCTTCACGATCTCAGAAGGGCTGTGCAAATCAATGAGCCGCTTATGGATACGCATTTGGAAACGATCCCAGGTCTTGGAACCTTCACCACAAGGTGTCTTCCTGGTAGTGATCCGCAGGGTCTGAAAAGTCAAACATGAGGTATTTAGCTGATGCAGAGAGAGGAGTAATCTAGAATCACATAAAATACGATCACCTGAATCATCTAAAAATACTGTATGGTATCTATGACTTTAGAAAGTTACCTCTTAAGTTATAGTTAACTGATGTTAGCACTCCTTCCCCACGTATATAATTTCATTTAAAAAAAAATTCATGATGAAAATAAATCGAACAGAAAAGCCCCTTCCACATTAAACATGTTTTGCACTAAACAGTTACCCTTAAGCATCAAAGCAACTTGTGAAATCGCTATCTGTTCACACTGGGTCAACACTCAGTTTAGTAGTACTGCTTTTCATCTCACTTTTTTTTTTTTTTTTTGGAAAAAGATGTTTCTGCATAGTTGCAGGAAAAAACCCCTTTTAACACAAGAAAAATGTTAAGTACCTTGGTGGGCATGCGAACAGGTCCCTTCACCTTAAGGTTTTTTTCCTTAGCACCTCTGATCAAGTCAGCACAGACTGGAAAAAGACAAAATCGCTCAGGTTTGTGACTATTTTACTTGCTGGTTTCCTTAAGTGAGTATTTCAAACAAGATGTTGGCTCAGAATAGCGTATTAAGTGATCACTGCCATTCATTTTAAGCATTATCCTCATAGCCAACACATACAAGTGAAAGTGTTATGCCTGGGTGAGCAAAATCAGGTTAAAACAGTAGGCAAAAGCCATTACTACAAGTTTAAACTGTATTTAAGCTGTTATCAGCCTGAAGATCCTGCAAACAGTGATTCTACAACATTTACATTATATGATTAAACACTGGCAAAGCCAGTTCCTAAACAAGAATAAATAATTTCTTAAAAGAATGTTATACTAAACTCTTCATAACATGAGTGACAAAATATCGGGAAACTGGTGCCTTTCAGTTCTTATAAATTCAAAGAATAACAACTATTTGAAAATCCCCCATGAGAACTAAAGCGGAGAAGCTGCACTCTCTTACATTAGTCATTATGACATAAGTTTTCAGCAGGATAAAACCCCCCAAAACACTAGCTTTCATTAAGAATTAAATCCAAATTTACTTGTCAGTGTATGAAGCGCTTTGGGTTGACTCAGTGAGCCAAGCAGGCAAATGCTAACATCTTTAATTACAACTGTTTTCAATACATTTATTTTGCAATGCGTTACATGACATATTCATTACTTGACAAGCTACCCAAGTAAACAAAAAAAGTACTACTCACCCTTCTCCAGTGATTTTACATTGCGACTTGTCAAAGTAATTCTAATACGATGAATTGCTACCTCTTGTTCCACAGGTGCTTTGCCAGTATCTTTAAACGCCTAAAACATTGAAGTTACAAATATCAGACACTACAGTGAACACCAACACTATCTACAGCCTCTTAAAAACAGACTTCAAGAGTGTAAAGAACAATTTCGCCATGGGACTACATTGTTCTACTCAGTAGAAGAGATATCTGAAGGGTACGGTGGCATGGAAGAAGAATGGTGGTGGGAACAGAACGAAAGAGCAAAGTTGTAACTCTAAGGAAAAGCTATTTTTTAGTGACTAACTGCATCTCATGGTGGGAAGCTGCAAGCAAATCCCTCCCTGGTTTGCCTATATGCAGCTAGCACAAACACTCCTTGTCCTCAAAAATACATTTGAGGCTTCATGTATCTTACCATTTAACCTCGCCACGAATTAAGTAGCAAAGACTTGATCAATAAAACTGCAACTCACACTGCAAGAACAAAAAGGGGCACCTGGCCAGAAAGACGAATTCAGCCACTCAGGAAACTGATTTGAGAAGCTTATGCAATTAAGCGCTTGCAAATAATTGGGCATTAATGCAGGCTAAGTGAGCTGATGAAAATAGAAATAAAAATATGGAGGAAGAAAGATCTTGAAAAAACAGGGATGATATACAGATAAACATATACATGTAAAACTACAAATATGAATAGCTAAAGGGGGGTTGCCCAGAGGATGGAGTCAGGCTCTTTCTCGGTGGTGCCAACCAATAAGACAAGAGACAACGGGCAGAAACTGATGCACAGGAAGTTCCATCTGAATATAAGGAAGAAACTTCTTTACTGTGCGGGTGACCGTGCACTGGAACAGACTGCCCAGAGAGGTTGCGGAGACTCCCTCGCTGGAGATACTCAACAACCGTCAGGATGCAAACCTGTACAATGTGCTCTAGGACGACCCTGCTTAAGCAGGAAGGTTGGACCTGATGTACCACTGTGGTCCCTTCCAACCTGACCGAGTCTGAAATATGGACGTCACACACCGATGAAGAGGCACGACCTGCCGCATTACTGACGCGCACCCCCTCAACATGAGCTGACTCTGAGGGCACAGACACAAGGCCGTGTCAGCTCCGCTCCCGCCGCCTCCCCGGGGTGCCGCTCCCGACAGGAGTTCACGTGGCAGCTCCCGAAGCGAAAGGCACTCTCGGGCTCCCAGGCCGCCCTCCCTGCATGCCGGCGTGGGGTGGGCTCCGGGAGCCGCCCCAGCACCGGGGCCGTTCAGGCGCAGCGCCGACGCGCAGCTCTTTCCCCGGGCCGAGGCCGGCACGGCCCGGGCGGCGCCGGCGGCCGGCGGCGCTGCCGGAGCGGCGGCCCCTCTTCCTCTCCTTCTCCTTCCCCCTGTCCCCGACGCTCCTCCGCCTCACCATGGCGGCAGCGGGCCTTCCTGACCGACTTATTCCCGGGCTCGGCGGCGCGGGGCCCAGCGAACAGCGGTGAGCCAGGAGGCGGCGGCGGGCGGCGCGGTGAGAGGCGGCGCCGGCGGCGGGGCGCTTATATAGCGGAGCGGCGCCGCCTCCATCCGGGCGCCGCGGGACCTTTCACCCGCCCGCCGGGCACGGAAGCGCCGGGGCGGGAGACGGGGATGGCTCGGCTTCCTGCGCCGATGGTCGCCCCGTGGTCTCGGCTGATGGCGGTCGAGAGGGAGAGGGGCCCGGCGGCTGCAGTGCCCCCCACACTGTGCTCGGCCGCGCCCAGCGGGGCACAGCGCCCTCCCCGCTCGGGCCCCGTGAGCATCTTGCGCTCCTGCCTCTTACAGTGGATCTCGGCGTTCTGCTGGGGCAGCACCGGGAGTTGGCGCACAAGCGAGGCCTTATCGCTTCCGGGGATAGCGAGCACGCTCCCGTCTGAGCCTTTGGGTCTCGTTATTTTCGTTCATTACTGAAAGCGACAGCACGAGAGGACACAGTCATAAGCAGCGCCAGGGGAGGTTTAGGTTAGACATCAGGAATTTCTTCATAGAAAGGATGACTAGACATTGGAATGGACTGCCCTGGGAGGTGGTAGAATCACCGTCCCTGGAGGTATTTAAGAGGAGACTGGACGTGGCACTCAGTGCCATGGTCTAGTTGACATGATGGTGTTCGGTCATAGGTTGGAGTCAGTGATCTTGGAGGCGTTTTCCAATCCAGCTGATTCTATGATTCAGTGACTCGGTGAAGTGGAGCTGTGAGAGCAGAAGCTTTACGTAAAAGTGATGGTTTTATTCATGCTTACATTTAAGGACTTAAATAAATTTATTTATGAAAGTTCCATTATTTATTGAGATTGGGCGTTGGAGGGATGTTTTTTTACTGAGCAGAGTCACTGATTTGGCCTGGACAGTGGTAACTGTCAGTCCCAAACCAAGTGTTTTGCTGATAATATGTCTCTTTCTAGTTACATCACTGGTGAACCGGAGAAACAGATATTATGAAATTATGGCCTATAGTAAGGTCAGTGGTCACTGTGATTGTCTTTTAAAATTAACACTTTAATTCTAGTTTGGGATTTAGTCCAGGAATCATAGACATGGATAATGTAAGCAAAACTACTGCCACCTCTGGAAGCTCAGTGATTACTAGAGTTATTCAAAAAAACTTGCTTGGTGTTTTAATATGAATTAATTTCAGTGATCACACTATTCTTAGTATATATTTTTCCCCTAGCAAATGCATTATAGGTCTTCATATTGTCCTTAAACCTCAGGTGATGGAGTTAACTTTTATATGCCAGCTATTCCATTGTGATGCTCAATTTTTAGGCTTGTTTGCACTCAGATTGTTTGTACTTGCTCTTTGAAATCTCTAGTTAACTAATAGCTTCTTTGAAAGGACTAGAGGCTATATTCTGATAAAGCAGTTCCAATAAACATGGATACAGAAGTTGTCATCCTGTTACTGCTTTCTGAAATGGAGCGATATCTTTTGCCAATGGAGATCAGTACTTGAAAAATGTTTTGATGATAGTCACGTTTCTTTAGTCTCTTCCTCCCTGCAATGAAAACAGCATTTGGTTCCTGTGGTTTGTTTTCTGAGCCATTTAACAATAATGTATATACTATTTTTGAACTCATGCATAAGGAACCCATGTTTACTCTGTTACCAGCTATTCCAATTACTTCCTGAGGAAGTTTTCCATCTATAAGTGTTTTATATCCATCACTCTTAAATACACGACCTCACACTGATCATGCTGAAACACTTAATTTTCCAGCAACCTAGATGGTTCCCAACCAGCAGTCTTGCTACACTATTTACTTAGAGCTTTTATGAATGTTCTTAGTAAACTTTATTTCCAGATAAAATACTGAGTAGGTTGCTGCCAAGAACTAATTCCTGGGGGATTCAATTAGAAATATGTCTGACTGTGTCCTCACTGGTGACACAGACCTGTAACTTTAGTTTTAATTTGCTTACTACAAGCTATATGTCCACAACTGTGCCAGTTTCCCTGTGTTCTACTGAACAAGTCAATGTGCAAATGTGTTACATCAACACTTTTCTGTTATTTACCAAATGTATGCTGTAATTGCATGAGGACAAAAATTCATTCCAAAAAGATACATTTTCCATACATTTAAGCTATGTAATTTAAGTAAAATTTGCTCATTTATTTCTTGTTCCTGGATCAAGAAGTTGGTTTATTGTTTGGAGTTTTTTTTTCTGGAATTAAGGCGAGGTTGACCGTAAGTTCCTGAATTTGTTCCTTTCTTACTTATTTTTCTAGTATTGGCACAACCTCAGCTTGCTTTGAGATTTTTCTTTTTTCCTGAGCTTCCCCAGATTTCTCAGAGCTTATGGAAAATCCACATTAACAGCACACAAGTCTCCTTTGCCAGCTCTTAAAATTCTTGGATGCAAGCTATATAGAGCTGCTGATTTAAAAACCGCCTTACTTCTATTCCTATGTTTAAGGCTTTCCATGGCTATTGTTAGACTTTTCTGATATATGTTGTTTTTCTCCACAAATGTAGAACAGAAATTTATCTGAACATCCTGTTTTCTCTGAAATATGTGCTCCTTCATGCTATTCACATGAGTAAATAGCCATTCTAAATACAACTTTTTGCTTATCTTCTGAGTATTTTGCCATTCTTAGCTTCTGATTCATATTTTGTATTATGCCTGGTTTTCCTTTGGTTACATTCTGGTTTTAATGTAGGTTTTTCTCCCCAGCCAATGATAACTTTAGTAATGAGATTGTGATTCTGTGACTTATCCTGTTGGCCTGTGCTTTTTAGATGAAGCTTCCAGGAGTGTTTCCCTCGTGTCAAGTAATTAAGAGGATAAAAGATTAAGAAGCAAGACATGCTTTTAACATGATTTAGTAGTCTGTAGGAGAAACAATTTAATACCTAATT